ACTTCGAGTTTTTTGAGATCGAGGAGGCCATTCTCTTGCGAACAAAAGTCGATTTGTGGGTTAACTTAATTTCGTAGACGTGTAGAGTTTACTAGTGTTGATTTTTCAACAATAAGGATGATGATTTGACATTCATCACTATGGTGATATTGATGGGATGTCATAAACATCTTAATGCTAAGGAAACTAATGAGAAGTTTTGTGGATGTTACGTAAATTTATTTTCTTTTGACAATCTATTAGATGAGTTCATTTGACAATTTCGTTCGCATCTTCGTAATTTGAGCCATGGGTGGACCCATTAAGGGTCGAGCAGGGTCGGTCGCTTTCACTGAATTTCCAAAAACCTTCAATTCGGCTTTTTTAAATTTAAATTTTCAAATTTTTTTTTTATCTCTTTCACAATTTATTGTAGCCCATTTTCTGTCTCGCTATCACTGAATCATAATTTTGCGTCTCCCCTGATATGAGCTTGGGGTGAAAATCAATCATTCTTAAAGTTATTGCTTGAGAAACATAAAGTTTAGAATTGAGGCCTAGGTAAATTAATATATACATGACATGGTAAAAATCATTTTACCTATGTATAAGATATGATAGGATCTGGCTGCAACATTTATGGGAGGCACAAAATCTTCACGTCCTAGCAAATCTCTAGCGTTGTACAAAAAATTTATGGAAGTCATGGCGCAAATTGTGGTACTACATTATTTTTTGGAAAATTCTGCAACTACACATTTTTTTATTTTTTATTTTTTTTTAGCAGAACTGAAACAGGTCTTCTTGTGATTGGCTGTTGCCAAAAATGGTCTGTCTTCCTGTACAAAATCTATACTAATGGCATTGTTCTTATTTTTTGGAGCCCATCAATGAATTTAAGCTTATTCTTCATCATCAACTTAAAGTTGGATTTCAATCGAATGACTCCACTTTTAAGCCGTAAAAAATAAGTTTATGAGTGCCCATCATGTACTCATGTAGTTTGCTCGGACAGAATTGAAGCGACAATTCGATACATTTACTTTTCTCCTTTCCAACATGGAGAAGAAATTACTATCGAGCATTGGAGTTTGACTTAATATGTTAATCCCGAGGTTAAATAACCAAAACGATTTTTCACAAGTTTTATCAGGATTTGAGATGACTTATCATAATTCGATCTAGAGTAAGAACACGACTATGCGATGTCATTGAGACGATGTTTTAAAACCCTGCTCAATGTCACCCTTGGATTTCATCGACGATAGAGTGCCTTTTAGGTTGAGCAATTATACTTTTGGTGAAATGATAACTAAATTTGTAAATAACGTAAGACATTATTAAGGTTCCTTTTTTCTTTTGCTTTTTCCCAAACAATGCCATGAATTCATGATCAAGATTTGGTGACATTATTATTGCACCAACCTCATCTGTCTGTATAAAGAGCTCCTCAAGAAAAGGGTCATTCTTTGATAATATTCTTTTGACGATCACGTGTGTACATTGATTTCAATCTCTTTTTCTCTAATTAATTATTATTATTATTATTAATTAGATATGAATTAATTGTTATTTATTAAATCATTAAAGATTAAATTTATCAAAGTACCTAAATTTTATATGGAATATTAACGACATATTCTTGCCTTTTATCCTTCGAAAAAAGAACTGAAATTTTAATCGATGTGCAATTTTATTTTATTTTTTCAAAAAATATGCATTTTAAAATATAGTGGAAGATTTAAATATAATGTAAATGTACTTTTTGGTCTTAATATAAGAATCGTTTTTTTATAACTCATACTGAACATATTTTCAATATATATATATATATATATGAATGATCTCCTAAGTATCGGTACTTAGTTTATGTTAAGTACCAGTGACATGACACACCATTTAATTGGCGAATCATTAAATATATGGGACCTATCATTAAATGATTCACCAATTAAATCGTGTATCATGTCACCGGTGCTTAATATAAGCTAAGCACCGATACTTAGGAGATCATTTCTATATATATATGATTAGTAAGAATAGAAGTATTAACTTAACATTACAAATAGTTTTAATTTATGGAAGATATAAAATTGCATATCTATTAATTTATAAATTAAGCATATATTTCATAAGAAGGATACATGTAATATATTTAGAAATTATCGCGTGCAGTATAATACAATATGCAAACATATTATAAAGTAGACTTTATGATATTTTACGAAAATAATAATAATAATAATAATAATAATAATAATAATAATAATAATATTATTATTATTATTATTATTATTATTTCTGTATTATTCCTGTTGAATTTAGTTATCGACTCATATATATATATGTGTGTGTGTGTGTGTGTGTTGGTAATCAAAACCCTATAAGGGATAATATTAAAAAGAAAGAAAGAATTTAAACTTATTTACTATGTTGTCTAATATTTTCTATTTTGTAGCAAACATATCGTTACATATTTGATTGTACCTTTGCTTATATATTCATTCAACAGCTACATTTAATATAAGTTAAAATAAACACTGGAAAAAGAACAGTACAGTACCAAAGTCACGCCTATATGAACATCTTTAATGGCATTTTAACCCATGTTTGATCCGCATTTTTTTAAGAATGTATTTTTTTAAAATTTATTTTCAATTACACATTTTTTTATAAAATAATTATACACATATTTCAAAAATATTTCTTTACTTTTTAACCACATATTCTCCAAAAAATCACTATTTTATAATACATTTTATCTCGAAAATGGGAATCAAACAAGAGTTTAAAGAAGAACTTTTACAAACGTGAATTTAAAATTATCGAAGTTTTCTTTATGGAGTATCAAAAGTTCGAGTTCTCATGACAGATGAAATGCAACTTTTTATGTTGGAAGGTAGATATCTTGTGGAGATACAATCATGATGCGTTCTATCATCCTTTCGAGGATCCTGTCTGTATATCATAAAAGAGGGTCCACAGGGAGAAAAACACTTTCTCAAATGTTCAACCAAAGTATATATAAATTGTGACATCATCCGATTTACTCAGGGTGGAGAGTTAGAGGAGAAGGTCATCACTTTTCAGGATTTGTCGAACGAAATTTGAATACTTGAGTTAAAAAAAAATAAAAAATTACAGATCAATTAAATCAATTTGTAAGCAAATTGAAGTTGATCTGTGAACCTCTCAATTTTTTGTGAAGTCGAATCTTTTAAATGATCAGGAAAAATCTAAAAATCATATATATAACATAAAATAAAATAAATAGTAGAAAAAAATTTGGACGTAACCGCAAAGTCAAAATCAGAGTGGTATCTATCGACCCACCGACCTACCGACTCTCCAATTTAGCCCCATAAACAAAGCGACAAATAATATTATTCACTTTCTCCACCCAACAAATTAAAATTATTATTCAATTAATTTCTCTCTCCTCACCATAATACCAAATGACAACTCCTTTTTTTAATATTTTATTCAATTCCCACAAATATCTTCTCATTTTCTTGGTTTCTTCCATTATACCTCTTCGAGCCCATCAATATGAAAACAACAGCTTTTGCAATTTGCACTATTGGTCCCTGACCTATTTTAGGACTATGAAATTGGTTTCCAACTTATAAAATCCAATGTTTAAAAATCATTAGCTTAACCTAGAAAATATAAAGCATCAAGGGTCACAAGATAAAAAAAAAAGTAGCCAAAAAAAAAAAAATTATAAATTTTTTTTTTTTTTGCGTTGGTACGGGTAAATTCTTAGTTTATTTTAATGCATTTTATATTAACAAGTTTTCATTCAAACCAAATCAGTTCTCGACTTCCGCCGTTGAATAAGTTGATGTTGTCTATTGGCAACACTAATAAAGAAGAGTGAATTGATCTTAATCACTTTCTAAGAGCATTTCCAATCGTGGTATTCAATAGATCCTAATTATGATTTAGATCTCCAAATTGGCTAAAAGCACCCCATTTAAGAGATACAGAGGAAATACAAATTGATAAATCTTTTTTTACACTTATAAGAGTCAAAAAGTGAATTTAGATATTTTTATTGGAGGAAAAATTGAATTTAGATCCACCAAAATATAAATAAGGATGCAGAAATGGTTTGAAGATACCAATTTACACTCAATTTTATTTTACGACCATTGGAGATACTCTAACAAGTTAAATTGTGTTTTAGCTTTCATAAAATCATGTTTCATTTCAAACTTTTAGACATGGTCTAGCTGAAGAAATATACTATGAATTTATAAAATTAGATACATGACGGCCATGGGATAATTTAACAAATATTTAAATAATTTTCATCATTAGCAATTAATTACGGAATAATAATGAAATTTTAATACCAGCTAGCAAAAATTTTAAAAATTAGGGACAAACTTACTAGTCACACAATAAATTGAGCACCTCTAGTGAATTTTTCTCAAGAGGGAAAGAGGCTCTTGTGCATCTGCAAACTAGCTTGAAAAAGGCTTTCCATGGCGGCCAACCACTCCTTTTGTAAGGTAACAGTAAAACCCAACCTTATCCAGACCAGTGACGGATTCAAGAATTCAGTTGAGTACAGATGATCACTAGACAACTGGTTGAAATTTTTATTCGACGAAGCCAGCACGGGGGCTGCTAAGTCTCCAGGTGCTGGCTCCACTCTTGATCTAGACGTCGTCTTGGTACACTTTTTAAAATATAATAATAGAATTAGAAAAAAGAGTACATCTAATTGTCTAAGTGAATGTAAAAAATCCACCGTAACTTATGGTCTATTTTGATTTAGTTAAAAATCATATTTTTAGTATATTTTGTAAAAAAATTAATGAAACATATCGTTGAAAAATTGATAAAAATTACGAAAGTCATAAAATATATTATTAAAATTAATTATCAACTTGATGAATTTTTTAAGAAACATAATTAGATCACCCATGTAACAAATATTTATATAGAGAGAAAGATTGTGGTGTCGGTGCATTTCTAAGTTTATTATTTTCCTCGTAGAATTGCTTTTAAGACAACAACATATGACAACGACCTTAATGCACAAGTAGGCTGCCGAAGGCACAACGCCACAACTCCCTCGGTTCTCTTCTTTCTCTCTCTTTGCCCCTTCTTGGATTCTGTCTTATATATGGAGAGCACAACAGTATCTATATATAGAGAGAGAAAGAATATTATTTTACACCAGAGAGAAATGGAGAACAGCGGCGGAGGTGGTGGTGCTGCCTCAGGAGGGAGGAACTGTTCAACGGCGGGGAACAAGAGAAAAAACGAGAAGCCATATAAAGGCATAAGGATGCGTAAATGGGGGAAGTGGGTAGCGGAGATTAGAGAACCAAATAAAAGATCAAGAATTTGGCTGGGATCTTATTCCACCGCCGTGGCGGCAGCGAGGGCCTATGACACCGCCGTGTACTATCTCCGGGGTCCGTCTGCTAAGCTGAATTTCCCAGACGAAATCGCTGCCGTTGGACTTAAAGATCTGTCCGCGGAGGCGATTCGGCAGTTGGCGGCGGAGGTTGGTGCCAGAGTTGACGCTCTTCAATGTAATTCGATTATTGCCACACAATCCAAGGACCATGCAAATCCATCTTTGCAATCTTCTTGGTTTCAGGAGAAGGTTGACTTGAACCAGAAGCCCAAGCCAGAACCCGATGATCCAAGTATTGAATACTGGTGAATATCTGGCACGTTGTTCGACTGAACTCGACTCGAATCGACCCAACTCGACTGGATGATGAGCAAAATTTTAACTTTTTCCCTTTCGGTCCAGTAAAATCTAAACTACCTTCTCAAATATGTTATTAAATGCTTTTCGGGTATCATAGAGAAGGTTTACTTGAAGTAGAACTCCAAGCCCGAAGAACAAAGTCTTGATTGACTCTGAATGTTATTACGTTGTAATGAATACTACAATGAACGAAATTTTTACTTAATTTCCATCTTTTAGAGCATAATATTTTTCAATTTGCTTACTAAAATATGTTACAATTTACAGCAGTCGACAATTTCTAAAGGAATTTTGAATTTAATTTGTGCAATTAACATGGTTTGATGATTGAGGGAGTGGGAGTGTGTGTGCCGCGCGCAAGTTGGGGAAGTTGGAGTGGGTGTCCATGAGGGAACAGCAATGGACCTACCATTGCTGGGGTTTGGTGCAAGTAGCTGTTTCCTAACTACCAAAGAAAAAGAAAGTGATTAGATTTTTATTTGAATAAGTAATTATTTTCGTGGTTCTCTGCAGCTGTAGATGACGATGTTTTTTGGTACTGTATAAGATATAGTCGAAGGACCGACATTGGAAGAGAGTTTATTGTTGTTTGATGTTCAGAAAAGTGGGTTGGATTACACTATATAAACATAATATGCTCCTAGAAGTGTAAAGAATAAGTGAGATATTCATATTTGAATCCAGATCATGATTCGAGTACTTGATCATTACCGAATTTGTTGATGTTTCACCCATAAAGTATGGAAAGTGCTAAACATTGGGAACTACCCGGGAAAGATTTAGGAACAAGAACAAGAACAAGGAGAAGGAGAAGCGAGAACCACTTAAATGGAGGAATCAATTGTATAACTCGATCGTGGCGTGTCCTAACTAGTTTGGAGATGAAGATTGCTTTAGATTGACTTTTCACCTTTTAGCATCAGAATTCAAGTGATTCTTTTTAGATTTATTGTGCGAGATGGATAAAATGTCTCAAACTCACTACATAATATGATGTATCTTTTTTTATGGATGACCCATTGAGTCTATCCAAAGATGGGTTGGACCTACCAATGACGGAGCAAGCACCTGGCGAGAAGCCATGGCCGCGTGTGTTGGCTCCATCGGAGTCGCCATCACTGATCGGGAGTAACTGTGCACAGAAGAGATTTTAAAAAATGGAGTTAGAGAATGAAAATGAGTTATTGGGATTTTTTGTGTTTTAATTGTGGATGTGGGCCCTTTTTTTGTTAAGGTAATTGTGATTGTGGACCCTTTTTTTTGTTAAGGGGGCCCTTTTTCCGAAAAAAAAGGACCCACCAAATGCTTAATCTTATCTCAATTGCCAAAAAAAAAAAAGTAACAATTGTGAAATTGTGCAATCTGCTTTATGGAAAGGTGGGATCGGCGCAATCAGAAATAGGCAACTTCTCGATTTTTGGAAAAATATTGGGGTTGTCCCTTTTTTACAAAATTTTAGTCAAATTTGATTGGAAACGAGTCAATGAACAAGATTCAGAAGCTTTGCTGCTGACATAGGCTGAATTTCGGGCAAATTTCTTCATTTAGGTCTTTGTTTATGCTTTTTTTCTTTTTTGGTAAATTTTATTTTGATTATATCTTAATCAATTTAAGTCGCATTTAAATTCTATTGGTTGAAAGATATTCTTTAAAATTAGGATCTTAAATTTTAGTCACTATCTCGATTTTTTCCATTTTTGGAAAAAAAAAGTCTTTTTTTTATTTTTTCGAATTTTCCTAGGGTTTTCTTCATAACATTTTTCGTGAGTTTTTTTTTCATCATCTTATGAGATTTGTTCATATTTCATATAACCCCTCGCTACGTCAGTAGATGGGTTGCCACCACTACAGGATATACATCATCATATTGATTTAGTGTCTGAAGTTACCCTTCCTAATCAAGCGCATTATAGGATGAGCCTTATTGAACATGAGGAGTTGCGCAGACAAGTGAAAGAGCTTTTGGCGAATGGGCACATCAGGAAAAATCTTAGTCCTTGTGCCGATCTTGCTCTCCTTACACCAAAGAAAGATGGCACATGGCATGTGTAGGTGGATAGTAGAGCAATCAATAAGATTACGATACATTATCTTTTTCCTATTCCTCGCTTGGAAGAGTGGCTACTATCAGATTCGTATCAGGCCTGGGGGTAAGTGGAAGACAACCTTTAAGACGAGAAAGGAGTTATAAGAGTGGTTAGTCACGCCATTCGGCCTTTCCAATATGCCAGTACTTTTATACGAATTATGAATCAAGCTCTTCATCCATTCATTGGTAAATTTGTTGTAATTTACTTTGATGATATTCTGATTTATAGTGCTAACAGTGATGATCATGTCTAGCACCTTCGAAAAGTTCTTTCAGTCCTTTGTAGGGATAAATTTTATGCTGCAGTGAAGAAGTGTAGCTTTCTGACTGATCGGGTTATATTTCTGCGGTGTCAAAAGATGGGTTAGCAGTTAATACATTCAAAGTAGAAGCAATAAGTTACTGGCCACATCCTAAGACTGTTACAGAAGTGCGGAGTTTTCATGGTCTTGCTTCATTTTATCGTAAGTTTATCCCACATTTCAGTAATATCATAGCTCCAATTATAGATTGTATGAAAAGTGGCAAGTTTTAGTGGACTCCTGAGGCAGAGGCATCTCTTCAGTTGATTACACAGAAATTGACAATTGCCTAGTTTTGGTGGTCCCTGATTTTACTCTGCCGTTTGAGGTGTATTGTGATGCTTCAAGGGTGGGTATTGGTGGTGTGTTGAGCCATCACAATCATTCCATTGCATATTTCAGTGAGAAACTTTTTGGCCCTTTATCTCGGTATAGTACTTATGATGTGGAGTTCTATGTAATAATCTAGGCGATTCGACATTGGCGTCATTATTTTTTCCAAAAGGAATTCATTTTGTGTACTGACCACGATGCCCTTAAACACTTTGGTACTCAAGATAAGGTATCTGCTCGGCATGCTTCTTGAATTGCTTATTTACAATAGTTTACTTTTATAATTCAGCACAAAGCTGGTGCTCTTAATAAGGTGGTAGATACATTGATTAGACGACAAATTCTTCTGACAGAATTGTGAGCGGAGGTCCCTGCTTTTGACACTATTTGCAATTTATATGCTAATGATCCATATTTTTCACAGATTATTCGAAAGTTGCAGAGGGTGTGCATTAAGAGTTTGTATGGGTCAATGGTTTTCTTTTTCGCCCGAAGAACAAAGTCTTGATTGACTCTGAATGTTATTACGTTGTAATGAATACTACAATGAACGAAATTTTTACTTAATTTCCATCTTTTAGAGCATAATATTTTTCAATTTGCTTACTAAAATATGTTACAATTTACAGCAGTCGACAATTTCTAAAGGAATTTTGAATTTAATTTGTGCAATTAACATGGTTTGATGATTGAGGGAGTGGGAGTGTGTGTGCCGCGCGCAAGTTGGGGAAGTTGGAGTGGGTGTCCATGAGGGAACAGCAATGGACCTACCATTGCTGGGGTTTGGTGCAAGTAGCTGTTTCCTAACTACCAAAGAAAAAGAAAGTGATTAGATTTTTATTTGAATAAGTAATTATTTTCGTGGTTCTCTGCAGCTGTAGATGACGATGTTTTTTGGTACTGTATAAGATATAGTCGAAGGACCGACATTGGAAGAGAGTTTATTGTTGTTTGATGTTCAGAAAAGTGGGTTGGATTACACTATATAAACATAATATGCTCCTAGAAGTGTAAAGAATAAGTGAGATATTCATATTTGAATCCAGATCATGATTCGAGTACTTGATCATTACCGAATTTGTTGATGTTTCACCCATAAAGTATGGAAAGTGCTAAACATTGGGAACTACCCGGGAAAGATTTAGGAACAAGAACAAGAACAAGGAGAAGGAGAAGCGAGAACCACTTAAATGGAGGAATCAATTGTATAACTCGATCGTGGCGTGTCCTAACTAGTTTGGAGATGAAGATTGCTTTAGATTGACTTTTCACCTTTTAGCATCAGAATTCAAGTGATTCTTTTTAGATTTATTGTGCGAGATGGATAAAATGTCTCAAACTCACTACATAATATGATGTATCTTTTTTTATGGATGACCCATTGAGTCTATCCAAAGATGGGTTGGACCTACCAATGACGGAGCAAGCACCTGGCGAGAAGCCATGGCCGCGTGTGTTGGCTCCATCGGAGTCGCCATCACTGATCGGGAGTAACTGTGCACAGAAGAGATTTTAAAAAATGGAGTTAGAGAATGAAAATGAGTTATTGGGATTTTTTGTGTTTTAATTGTGGATGTGGGCCCTTTTTTTGTTAAGGTAATTGTGATTGTGGACCCTTTTTTTTGTTAAGGGGGCCCTTTTTCCGAAAAAAAAGGACCCACCAAATGCTTAATCTTATCTCAATTGCCAAAAAAAAAAAAGTAACAATTGTGAAATTGTGCAATCTGCTTTATGGAAAGGTGGGATCGGCGCAATCAGAAATAGGCAACTTCTCGATTTTTGGAAAAATATTGGGGTTGTCCCTTTTTTACAAAATTTTAGTCAAATTTGATTGGAAACGAGTCAATGAACAAGATTCAGAAGCTTTGCTGCTGACATAGGCCGAATTTCGGGCAAATTTCTTCATTTAGGTCTTTGTTTATGCTTTTTTTCTTTTTTGGTAAATTTTATTTTGATTATATCTTAATCAATTTAAGTCGCATTTAAATTCTATTGGTTGAAAGATATTCTTTAAAATTAGGATCTTAAATTTTAGTCACTATCTCGATTTTTTCCATTTTTGGAAAAAAAAAGTCTTTTTTTTATTTTTTCGAATTTTCCTAGGGTTTTCTTCATAACATTTTTCGTGAGTTTTTTTTCATCATCTTATGAGATTTGTTCATATTTCATATAACCCCTCGCTACGTCAGTTGGTATCAAAGATATGTTCTTCCTTTACCATGCCACCAAAGAGACGTCCAGATGCCCGTGAAGCCTCGGTAGAAGAAGTAAATAGACGTGACAAGATCGCACAGTTGCGTCGACAAGTAGAGTTGCTGATCCAATAAATCATTGCACTCGCGCCACAACAACATGTCCCTGTGGCCCAACCGCTTGAAGATTCTGAAGATGAAAATTCATTTGCGCATCTTGATCATCCAATAGACTGGTATCAAAGATATGTTCTTCCTTTACCATGCCACCAAAGAGACGTCCAGATGCCCGTGA